ATATTATTAGTAATATTACATGTAATATAAAATATATAATTATATTATTATTAGTAGTATTATATTGAATTGCATTATAATATTATATGTATATACAATATATTATAAAATAAAATTGGTTTAATTTACTCCCTGCAAGTCCTAGGAGGAAGGCTGTTAGAGAAACATGAACCATTAAACTATTAAAACTTGGGAAAAGAATCTGGCAAATCAATACACTCTTTCTTCCCCCCTCCCTCCCTCCCTCCCCTGTTTCCAAGATAATGTCGCTTCTGAGCATGCGCGGGAGGGAGACTGGAATGTCGCTTCTGAGCATGCGCGGGAGGTAGAGTTCAGAATGTTGTTGAGGATTCCTTTTTACTGCCATTCTGCTTTGCCTTCTATTGATGTAGTAATCAGCCAATCAGGACGCCCAGTCGCCCAGCAGTCCCCGCCCCCTTTGTTATAAATAGGCTTCCCTTTGGAATGGCGCCTTGTGTAGGAGAAGCTCGTGCTTCTTGTGCTTTGCTAAGCCTTTAGTTTGTTTGAAACTCAAGCAAAGGTATCCCTGTGAGGGGATTGATAGACTTGACTTCACAATCCATCACTTTATGCCTTTTTTATTCCAGTTATTTCAATATGGGAAGCAAATGAGATTCCCCTCAGAATCAGGAATCTTATTGCCTCACATTGTGAAGAAAAGGCAGGCCGCAAAGCCCTCCATTTTGAGGCAGAGGCTCAAAATGCATCCATTTTCGCATTAAATTTCAACAAACTCTGCTTTTTCGTTCTCTTCGGCACATCATATGAAATCTTTAAGGAATAAATGCATCATTTCAAATGAATTTGGACCATTTAACACTCTCTTCGGCGCATAATATCCCATCTTTAAGGCATAAATGCATAGAATCAAAGAGTTGGAAGAGACCTCATGGGCCATCCAGTCCAACCCCATTCTGCCAAGAAGCAGGAATATTGCATTCAAATCACCCCTGACAGATGGCCATCCAGCCTCTGTTTAAAAGCTTCCAAAGAAGGAGCCTCCACCACACTCCGGGGCAGAGAGTTCCACTGCTGAACGGCTCTCACAGTCAGGAAGTTCTTCCTCATGTCCTTTCTTGTAGTTTGAAGCCATTGTTCCTTGTCCTAGTCTCCAAGGAAGCAGTAAACAAGCTTTCTCCCTCCTCCCTGTGGCTTCCTCTCACATACTTATACATGGCTATCATATCTCCTCTCAG